TTGGCCGCGTTCAGAGCCCGCTGGCCTTCGGCGCCGCGGGAGGCACCCCCCCTGAAGCAGCAGGTAGGGGCAGCGCCCCCGTAGGGAAGGGCCCAGCGCCATTAACAGAGCTCAAGCCACAAACTTAAGAAAAAAATTAAGAAAATTTAATGATGAAATGGGCTATATACATGGATGGCACACGACTTCCGTGCTGTTATCCCCTTTCTGTAGCTGGAAGTTAAGTCTGATACAAAAATAACAGTCAACAGGTCCCCAGGGATGGGGGGAGGGGGAGAAGAAAAAAAACAAACCCAAAACCCAAACCTAAACAAATCACACCACCCAAACGCCTGTTGTTAAAGTGCTTATTTGATGTGAGTTCCACAACTAACTACAGCCCGGGGTATTGGGGGTTTCAACCCATCAGACAGCGAATAGTGTACAGAACACCCCAAGTTAAGAGCACAGGAAACTTAGATTTTTTTTAAATACTAACTAACTGATACTTTAATAACAGATACTTTATGTGAGATAGCCTTGCGTCTTGCCACCACCCAGCCTTTAAGAATTCCTTGACATTCTGCAAGGCAGAACAAATTCTGCCCCTCTGTCGCCCTTCACGTGCATTTCCTCGGCTCCGAGTCCATTTAACTGCGCTCGGCCAGCCGCGGCCCTTCCCCACCTTCCTCCTTCCTCTGCTTGCTGCCCCTCTCCCGCTCGAACTCGGCTATCTGATTGAAGATGGTAACCAAGCTCTGGGGCAGGTTTCTCTTAGTGCCACTCTCCGTTTGTGCCGTACCATTTAAAGACGTGTCCTCCTCCGGTTCCTTTGTGCTATGAGGCTCCTCACAACTTTGTTTCCTACTCCTGCTCTCGCTTTCATTTTTATGGGGACTTAAGGCACGCCGCTCGCTCTCGTAGCTCCTGTCACTGTCACGCCAGCAGGTGCTGGAATACGATCGGTATTTGCCCCCCGACTTGCCAGAATAGTCAGACCCTGCTGGCGATGTGTAGTAATACCTCTCCTGACCGGAGCTGTACTTTTTAAACTGTTCCCTTCTCCCCTCTACCTCCCTCTCGAATTTCCTAAAATAATGCATCCTGGGTTTACCATCTGACTTACGATATGACCCTGAAAAACCCCTGCGACTGGAGAAAAATCTGTCATCGGCTTTACCGTATTTTTCGTGTTTGCTAGTACCTGGCAGAGTTCTGGAGCTACTGTAAGAATCTCTTGAGTCTTCAGACCTACCTCCACCCGTGTCTTCATCATCACCTGAAGTCCTCGAAAAAGACCAGGGTCTCTCTTTCTCCCTGACTTCTGCTTTTGGACACCCTAAGCTCTCCTGCCTTTCCAGCAGTTTTTCCACTTCAAAATTTTGGTTAAGAAAGGAAGCGGAGGTATCGGCCGGAGGCGAATACCACTCCTCTTGCCTCATCTGATCTTTATAATGGGAAGAAGCTCTAGATGAGCATTTTTTGGAACTGTGGGCAGACTCGGATCTATTCCGACGCTTTTTCCTGTGTTTCTTGTGATCAGAGGAAGAGGAGGAAGAAGAAACTGATCCATCTGATGAGGAATCACTTGAGGAGGAGGAGGAGGAAGAGGAGGAGGAAGTCGATACTTTTCTTTTCTTCTTCAACCTAAAAAAGGTAATTAACCTGTGAGATAATCTTCAGGATCAGGCGAATACTGTGCGTACAAAGCAAATCTGTACTCGCCCGAGTTTGGCTGAGACTGGACCCTAAGGCACCACCGGAAACCGAGCCCGACCTGGCGAGGCACTCTCACACGTCATTTCTTTACCAAAGAATTAAGGTTAAATCCACCCACCAGTTCCTTACAAACGGCGTCTTTCCCAGTTTAACAGGGCATTACATCTCACAAAGGCTTCACGTTGAAAAGTGCTTTGTAAACAACTCCTCCAGAGGTACCTCCACCTCAGCTCCTATGCGCTGAAGGACGCTACCCACAAAAAAACTCTGGGGAAGAGCAGCTCAGCGAGGCAGAAATCTACCCGGCTCACTGCTGCCTGGGAATGGCCTGCCCACAGCCTTATCTGCGCTTGGCGCCCCGCAATCAGAATACCAAACAGAACAAAGTTACCTTTTTTCTGGAAGAGCAGCTCAGCGAGGCAGAAATCTACCCAGCTCACTGCTGCCTGGGAATGGCCTGCCCACGGCCTTATCTGCGCTTGGCGCCCCGCAATCAGAATACCAAACAGAACAAAGTTACCTTTTTTCTTCTTTTAAGAGCTTACGCAATTTTTCTGCACTTGTTTCTACTTTCTTTTCTTTCTGTCTCTCTTCTTTGGCAGCTTGTTTCTCCCTCATTTCCAAAGATTTCTTTTTTGAACCCAAGCATCATAAAAAAAATTACATTAAGAGTAAGCATTAAGCACGGGTATTTTTCCCCATGTCCCCAGCCCCATTCAAACGTATAATCACACCAGGGATGTTTCACCAGGATTCCCAGATCAAGAATGAATATTGTTGAGGAGTTTGGCATTGGCCATTGTGATAATCAATCAGGTTTACATTAAGGACCATATTGCAGTTTTTATTCCATTAAAAAAATATATGTGCCCAGCCATTGCAGCGGCACCCGTGATCCAGCGCCCCGTGAAGCACGGAGCCCAGGAGCACCGACAGAAGATGCAAGAAAAACACGGCATTAACAACGGGGGTTTTTGGGTTTGAGGGAAAGTATCGTTATTGTAGGTCACAAGTAACAAACCACGGCAGAACCCGTTTTCAAATGTATTCACGTCGGCCATGTTTGAATACAAACCGTTTTGTAACAATTTCACAGGCCAGTTTGATGCATAGTTTACGTACGAAACCATGTCCCACGGGTTTGTTGGTGATGAGCAGCACCAGATGTCAGATACAGCAACAACGGTCCGATTCGGAAGAAAATGCATTGGAGAAAAACACATAATCAGTATTACAGGAACAGGCCCCTGGGCCGCGCGTCAGCCCCCCTCGCGCGGCGGTATCAGGCAAATGGATTAAATACATGTAAATGCAGAAGGGCGCCTCGTCAGATGAATAACCCTTAAATATCAGAGATCAGACTCCTGCCATCCCCAGCCCTGCGGAGGAGCTCTGCCCATGTTCAGAGCGAGCAGAAAGTCTGATTATCGCTTTCACACCACAGTTGCTGAGTTAACAGATGCAATAAAGGAAAACCTTGACTGCAGCTCAGGCTACACGAACCAGCAAACAATACCTAGCATGGTGGGGTTTATCCACTGCACCCATGACCCCTTACACCAGAAAAATGTTAAAGGGGAGTAAAATTTATCTCCCCCTTGCTGAGAATATTCTTCATCATTTTAACTGAGACTGCCACCCAGAGTGACACCTCTTTCCAAAGCAGCCAGATGTGGACAGCGCTCAAATACCTCACAACAGCTATCTATGATGTGGTTCAGTTTTAATAAAAAGATCATCAGATCTCCCCTTCCCCCTTCTCTCACACAGCCCGTCAGCATTACGGCTCCACCGGCTGAAGAAGTGTTGATTAAGGCCCTCCACCCCAGCCTACGCACTTCCTGACAGGCAGAAGCACGGAACAGAACAAGGCTGTTCCTCAGCGCCCTGGTTCACTCTGATCCTCTCCGGAAGACAACACAAGTAAAGGAGATAAATAAAAGAAAAAAGATGATGACTCAGGTTAGCAGAGACCCAGCGGGGCTCACCTGGGAAACACGATGTGCGCCAGTGACAGGAAAAACCAGACAGCAGAGAAGAAAGGGAAGATTCTGAACACTGCCCACCCGCCCCCTCCTGCTGCTTTCCTTTAAATCACCTCTGAATTCCCCTCTCACGGGGTCTTCCCGTCCCTTTGCTCTGGCTGGTGTTACTCTCTCTTTTCATAACTACTCCACACAACAAGGACCTGGCCAGCACAACGGCGTGCAATGCTCGTTTGGCTTGCCTAAGTGTTTTACACTTCGCATGTTTGTATTCACACAATGATTTAATTTGGCATTATTAACCACGCTCGTGTGACGGAATGTTCTTAGCCTTGCTTTAGCTGCCAGGGTTGTGGGGCTTCGCTCTTTCCCGGCCCCCGCTGCCTGGCACTCCTTCACTGCCCTGCTCCCAACAGCAGGCACCACCAGGTACCTTTCTCCTGGCCGGTACAGCCATAATGCTGACTGTAAAAGATCGACTGTGGAGAAGGGAAGCAGAGAATAAGACAAACCATCCGCTCAGGCTCCCCCTGTTCAGAAGATTCAGTACAATTTCTGATGTTCGTTTATTGCCACCGAGGGCGCCTTATGAAGAGAAAGTAAAGAATCACCTGCATATGCTTACGGAGCTTCGTTAAGGCCTCTTCTGCTTCCTGAAAAGTCTCATCCAAACTTAAGGCTTTTTTATAGTAACTCTCAGCATTTAGCAGTTTGTCTTCCTCTTCCAACCTAAAATTCAAGCAATAATTCATATACAGTTAAGCCACAGATTTTGACTGGTTTTTCTTATTTCCAGGACTACCTTTCTTATCTGCACTGTGACACTACACTGCACCCATCCAAGGCCCTCTCTGTCATCCTAGCCCCCCGAGCAAGGAGATAAAACGCTATTTCTGACACGTTATCTCCCTCCTAATCAGCAGTAGCAGTACTGTTCTTTGAAATTTCAATTCCAGTTTCAAAAATACTGTGTTGCTCTTCTTAACACAGGGCTTAAAAGAGATCGGTTCCCTGAATATTCAGGAGTAAAAGTTTGTGTTACAGCTGTTAACCAGGATCTCGGGAGAATAACGGAACGCCATTTCGTTAAAAATACTTTCTTTAAAAAAACCAACCAAACAAACAAAGAAAACCCGAACAAACCCACTGGAATATATTCAAACAAGCCTGGTAACCTACCAGTGAGAGGGTATCAAGGATTAACCCTCAAATATTTTAACTGGGGCAGAGGAGAAGGTGGAAGCCAAATGCACAAGCAGGTGTATTTCCAAGAAAAGACTTTTTTTTTTTTTTTTTTTAACCCACATGGCCAGGAAGGGAAGACGCCATTCTGTGTCCTGACTAGAATGGTATTAAGAAAATAGCGTGAGAAAAATTGGTAACAACGAGCCAAAACAACCACCCCAGCACTTACTGCCCGCCGCGTTCCACGAGCGTCTGACAGAGATACTTCCTTGCGTTTCTGTGGCTGGGACAGTTTTCTAACGCAATTTCAAAGTCACCTATGGCTTTGTTCAGGCTTCCTTTTGTGGCATACCTAGAACAGGAAAGGTGGGCACTTTTTTAGTGATGTTTCTCCTCCACAAAGTAGAAAAGCCAACGAAACAAGCACTTACAGAGCTCCACGTGCTACCAAAGCTTCAACGTTTTGTGGATCGATTTCCAAAGCCTTGTTGTACTCATTCATGGCTTCCACGTGGCGCCCAACCTTGAAAAAATCAACCCCAGCCTTCACACTGGAGAAAAACATTTAGAAAATATTATGTACTGTTAGCCTACGCAGACTTTATACTGTTGATTACTCACAAATTATGGTTGCGAACAAGTGATAGGTAATAAAGCTTGACCTTGTTATCAAGTACTTGACACCAGCATTTCAAATTAACACAGTATTGACTTAATTCCACAACAATATACTGTCTTTAATCCAAAATCCTAAGGCACTGGAGAGCCTTTCTGCAGATGGTGCCGCTACATTACACTGTTCTTCATTTACAGAACGAATATTCAAGCTCTTTTCTGCACAAAACTCTACGTGTGACCTACCGCCATTAACCTAGAACAGGCTTAATTACATCCAAAGCTGAAAAGCACCATTAGACCAACGCCATGAGGCGAGGTGGGTAGATGGCACACACCAAAGCCAGCTCATCCCAAACCGGAATATTTTGAGGTTTTACATTCTATATTACCTGAACCTTCCTTCTACATTTACCAAGAGATTAACTTACTGGAAGAGAACTGACAGGAGTTGAATCTTAGAACTTTTCATTACAGGCTATTTTTGAAGTTTACAATTTATATTTAACAGTATAAGCAACTTTTTCTGCCATTAATCAAAGTTGCAAAACGCTACTGTTTTAAGAAAAATACTGCTTTGTTCACACAGAAACCAGATATTTTGAGGCTTCACTCAGATTTTTTTTTTTTTTGAGCTGGTAGATTCAAGAGAAATTTTTTCCACAAAAAACATGCACTGTTAGGAGAAAAGCCTCTCCTGCTCCGGCCTCCTCCACCCTGCGGCACGCCCAAGTACACTGCACAACGTAAAAGCAGTAGCACCTGCCAGAGCTGCTCTTCCACACACAGCCAGGGAAGCACACGTAACTTTTCAGAGGCAGCAAGTGCACTTGTTGAATCTACAGTTTGCGGCTTAAATGGCGTGACAAGCGTTACTGGGTCATTCAACACCCAGTTATGAAGTGGAAGATTGTGTACTTGGTATTGTCACAAGTCTTGCTCTCACCTCATCAGTGGGCCAGCATATTATAAACATTTCAAGCAGCTCTCCCTTAAACCTGACACGTACTTTGGAACTGAATCTCGAGGCTTCATCTATCACACACCCACCTGGCAGTTCGGGTTGCTTTCAAGACGACCTTCCTGGTTACATGACTACGTGTGCAGTGGAAAAACTGATTCAACGTGTATTTTCTTTTAAGAAACAGAACCTGTAACCTAATCTAACCTAACCCGTAGCTCTGACAAGAAGAAGTATCGCATACCACTTCAGGGCCCAAGACGCAGACTGCTTTTTCCTCAACGCAGGGGCAAAATCTTCTTCACTGAAATTTTTCCTTTCAGGAAAAAAACAAACAAAAACATCAAGTCGGCCTTCTGAGTCTACACAATTAAACTTACAACATGCAATGCGGTTCAAATAAGCTGAAATTCATGTATTTATACGATGCCTTGCTGCTCTTCCTCATCAGGAATGTTCTCTCATATTTCCAAAACCAGTTTTTCCCAACCCGCTCTAGAAGTGCTGGATTGAACGAGCACAGCTGCCGTACACGGCACAAATAATATACTGTATTCACACCTGCTTTGGGGCTTAACACATATAGGGCTACCAACATCCATCGCTGCATATGTCTGAGCCTACTGTACTAAAGAGGTCAGATCCATTACTAAAATAAACATCTGACAGAAAAACATTAAACCTTAAACATCCCGCATTTCAATCCAAAGACGTTGACAAGATCGAAGCAATACATTCCCAAAGTATTTGGCATCAAACAGTTTGCATGATAAGGTGTCTTGCTTGTCAGGGCAACAGGATTTCAAATGTAAATGTCTTACTCTAGAGGAGTTTGCTTTTACATATTTAAGGCTGCAGTCATGCAAATCAAAATGAAAAAGGTTTAAGTGTAAGTGGTCTAGGACTTCACTCACAAGTCTCTTTCAATGGATTAGAATAATCTGCACGAAGCTATAGGACAGGAACAATGTAAAACCACTTACATTTGAAGACTTCTCATCAAAGACGGTGGATTTGATTCACTTAGTCCTAGTTTTTCTGCTAAATATTCAACTAAGGATGGATTAGCGAATCCCGGGGAACGGTGCAAGACCTCTTCGAACGTCTCTCCCGTATTAGCAACTTCCAAGCTTCGCCTTAAAAAAAAGGCACAACCATATAGAAACGCAGCCTCGCAGACGCTATACCGCGTTACGATGCTTATGTTTGGAATAAAAATACCTACATCGGTATTTATTGCTGCTCCCAAGCTGTTCCCTTTCACAGTCATGGATTTCCTACTATTTAGCAACTCTTACATGCTTGCACCTAAGCGAGCGTTTGAAACCTATTCTGGCACCCACCTAGGTATCTCCAGGACGGACAAAAACATGACAGGAACTGCAGAGAGAGCTGCGTGCTTCTGTCTTCTAAGGGTCATTTTAAAATTTTAGGAGTTCCATATTGTTGTTGTGGGGTTTTTTTGTTTGGGGTTTGTGTTTTGGGAAACAGAGTCCCACAGGGACAGATGCCTTGCGTTCCGTGTGTTTTGGGAAAGATGCTAAGGACAAGCCACACGTGACATATCCAGAAACGAGCACGTTGGAGGGATGAACAGCAGAAAGTATGTAAGCACCCAGCTAAAGCAGAAATACCATCGACAAGTTTAGAGAAGAGTCTGTCAAAGATGCTCTTCAGACGCTCTGAGTACACCTAGCGAGTACAGCCCGTGTTCTCACCTATAATGTAACGGGAAGTCATCGGAAGTAATAACGCCCAGCTTTGTGCTGGAAAGATTGGGTGGAAGAGCCGAGCTGTAAAGCGACACCGTCAGCTTCTCATGGTAACGATCGACGTCCTTGATTGCAGCTACAGAAACAACGGAAGTTAAGATAAAGTTACAGAAATGTCTCAAAACCGAAACAAGCAGATGCCTGACAACTTTTGCAGCTACTTGCCTCGAATAAGGTCTCCGGTTTGATAATAAGACAAAGGATCCCCGTGGTTACTTTGAGCAGGCACATCCCTCAAGGGACAAAGGGCCTGCAACAGAAGAAAGCAGGAACATCACAAACACAGCCAAAAGGTTTGGGCTTTTTTCTCCCCAAGATTAAGCCAGAAAATGAGTTTAATCTTAATGCACATCAGAGCAGCAATGGTTAAAAGCATGGCTTGGTTCAAATAAAAATTTATGTGTCTATAAATGATGAGCTTTCCAACTCAACAGTAATAAATATTGAGTATGGGTCATGCAAAGAAGCATTTGCCGACACAGCCAAGTGTCGTAAGCCGTCTGCAAATTCAGCTACGACCCACCACCCCAAAGTTCAGTTTCACCTTCACGTGCACCACCCCATCAAGTGACGCAAGAGGCCACTAACACGTTAAAAAGTTACTACTTATCCGGAACAAAATACTGACAGAAGCTGTGTCTTACAGTGATTTCTAAATCCGAAATCTCCCGTATGATGCCACTTCCCAGACAAATCAACACCATGAAAAAGCCGAATTCACGAATAGAGGTAATCCTCCCGATCACGATATCGCCGCGTTCGATGTCTTGAAAAAACAATTCCCTCCTTTCTTCCCTGGGAACCT